CTTTTTTTCTTTTTTTTTTTGGACCACTTCTCGATTATGTGTGTCATCCTTGCGCAGGGGCCATGCTAATCTTGTCTGTGGCATTCCAATCTTAACGGATGGCCACTAATCTTGTCTGTATCGTTCCAATCTTAACGGATGTCCCGAAGAACATCTGTCGTGCGTTCTGCTGTTCATACCGTGCTTTTTTTCTTTCTTTTTTTATAAAACACGGTCAAACACCATGCTGTGGTAGGTCCCTGAGAGGACACTAGTACAGATTGTGATCTGCCTCAGCTGATGAGCAGAACTAGTAGTGAGGGGGAGGGAGATGACGATAGGAGATTGACACATCAGGGAGCCCATTGTATACCTGTAGTGTTTCAGGTCCTGTTACCAGGAGACAAGAGGAGATTTCATGCAGAGAAACGGGCCAAGCTTTTGCAGAGGGCTAGGGAAGCAGCAGCAGCAGCAGTGGAGCGCGCTTCAGCAATAGGGAAGCAGCAGCAGCAGTGGAGCGCGCTTCAGCAATGGCTGCCGCAGCAGCAGCGGCTTCAAAGGTTAGTAGGATGCAGAGCCTACAGGTCTCAACTTCCTTCTCCAGGTCAAGCCTCCTCCTCTAGTCAGATGGCAGGCTCACAGTTCAGCCAGCCAACTCAGCCCACTAGGGAGGACCTAGAGATCAAAGAAGTGGCTTCGCAGGTTAGTCATCGTAGAGCCCACAGGTCTCAACTTCTTCTTCGGGTCAAGCCTCCTCCTTTAGTCAGATGGCAGGCTCACAGTTCAGCCAGCCAATTCAGCCCACTAGGGAGGACCTAGAGATCCAAGAAGTAGAGAATCTTCACCTTCAGTTAGAGAATGAACTCAGAAATGTAGCTAACCGAGAGGAGGACGTGAGAAACAGAAAAGCTACGCTGGAGAGCATAGAGGTGGACAAGGGTGCGATCGAGGGGTTAGATGATGCTGTCATAGATGACTCTACAAAGGTGCTCAAAGCGGGAATATTGAGCATGTACGAGTACACAGATAGCAGGCTAGATGATATCCAGTCCACCCTAGATCAGATAGTGTTGTGCATGGGAAGGGTAGACCTGACGGACCTGACAGTCCACCCTATATCAGATAGTGTTGTGAATGGGAAGGGTAGACCTGACGGAGCTAGTGTCAGGCAGCGGCCAGTCCCATCGCCGTCCACATTGCCAGCAATGTCAAGCACTTTCGTTCCCCAGTTTGGCATACCTTTGTCAGGTACGGTGCTGTTTCTTCATCTTCACAACCACCTGCTGCAGCCACAGGGCAGCCAGTCCAGTAATCCATACAGCAACAGGTACCAGCTGGACCACAGCAACAATGGTTTCCATACACCCGTCGTCTCCTCTGGAGTCCTCAGGGGACGAGGTGAACCTCAACACTTGTGGGTAAGGGCCAAGCGAACGCTGCCCGATCAGGAAGTGATTGTGTCTGCCTCATACCTCAAGGGTTTGGCAACACTTATGGATAAGGGCCAAGCAAACGCTGCCCGACCAGGACGTGATTGTGTCTGCCTCGTACCTCAAGGGTTTGGCAGCAAGACGGCTAGATGGTATAGTCGCATCTCATGGCTTCGGTAGGAAGTGTCATGATTTGCGGATGAGACAAGTTTAGGCAGCGAGGAGCGTGTTGAGGGAGGAACTCTAGCCGCAGCACTCAAAGGAAAGGCAGCTGGCCAGGGTAAGGGAGGCCAGCAGAGGAGTCAAGGCAAGGCTCAGGTTTCACCCAATGCACCTGCAAGGGTGAAAGCTGGACTTAATGACATGTTTAGGGATCATTACTGGCACGGAGCTTGCATTAACTGCAGCCAATGTGGGCACACGCAAAAGTCCAAGAACGCGAAGGTCTCTCAGAAGATCCCACCCACAATGGGTGCGGATCTTTCCACCCACGGAGGTGCTCAGGAGATGGCCATTAAGGGACTCTCTTGTCACCCCGCAGACATGTCTAGACCAAACAACGCTCTGTTCGTTAAACGTGTCTGAAGACACCTAGAGAAGGAGTGGTCAGAGAAAGACCCTCGTGAGTCCTTAGTGGCAATGTATAAGGATCCCAGAGGGGAGCATTTCTTTGTGGAAGTCAGTGTGGGTCCCCATAAGTGTGGTGCCTTCGCAGATACTGACTCCACACAGAACTTCATTAGTCACGAGTGTGTTGAGAGGCTGTGCTTAGGGAACCGGGTGCAGCGGCTGAGTAGAGTTGTAGCTTCTACCTTGCCAAATAAGGTGCACATGTTTGTCCAGGACTACGTCAACGACGTGGTATGCACCTTCTCCTATGAAGGAAGGGAGTGACGACTTACCATTTGACATGCTGTCAGGTATGTACTACCTCGGGGTTGCACAGCCCTAGTTTGAATGGGACAGAAAGATGCTTTAGCATGTGTTGCCAGATGGAAGGACCGTTAGACTAGCAAAATACGTGAGGGCAAAGAAGAAAGTGGATGATACAGGGACCATCGCAGCATGCATTGGAACCACTGAGAGAGACGCGTCACATGTGCAAGATGGCGGTGTTAACGAGGGTATGTAGCAGGTCCACCCTTAGCAAGGGTCAGTGGGGAATGTCCATGAGAAAGCATGCGACGAGCAAGTGTTGTTGGCACAGTACAAAAGTCCCACCAATCGTTACAGATTTGTCCAAATCTGGTCGATTGGCCAGTGTACACACCACAGCCGGTTGATGGGAAGGGACGTTGAAGATCGCACTTCGATAACGAATGACAGGGACGTCCCACCCGCTTTATGAAGGAAACTCATGAGAAGCGACCCATCAGAAAGGACCCATCAGAAAGGACCTGTTAGACGGTCATAGAATTGTTCAGGCTGCCAGGCACAACAGGGGTACTGCAGGGGTGCATAACATTGAGAGGCCCCAACGTTGGTGAATATTTATTCTCATTTCCTTTCTTGAAAATATCATCAAAAAATATCAGGGATTGAGGATTGGTTCTACTGTATGAAGGAAATAAGCGACACAAATTTACAAGAAAAACAAATGCCCACAAAAGAAATTGGCACAAACGAAATGCATATATCCCTCAGAGACTGTGCAATCCAGTACGCCCAACCACTCAGGCTAGGCCGCCAATGGTCAGTTAACTTTAAGGGTCAATATATGTCCGGCAGGAATCAGCACTCAGATGTTTTTCTTTCACCCTCCCGTTTCAACAATGTCCACCTGGGGTGGGGTCCCACTTGCCCAGACAGAGATTTACCCATTGATCTTCGCTATCGAAGGTCACTCTTAAACCACCAGTACCTTACCCAGCTGTCTCTACGGTACCACAACAGTTCATCATTAATGGATTTAACCCGGCTCAGGCAGGCCTGTACATCCACCCGGCCGATCGGTATACCACCACAACTTCCAATGGCCGTGGTGGTTTTTTAATCCATGCAAGTGGGACCTCACCCCTGGCTCTGAATCAATCAAGGGGCTAATTCATGTTTGCTACAACTGCACTGTGGCCCAAACTCGATAAAAATAAAAAGGTCATTCCCCAGCGCCCTGGTTTCCACACCCATTATATTATGCTCTGACGTCCCTCACTCCACTGCTCAACATTCGAAATGTATCTGGAGATGGTATGGTCCCAATGTTGGATCACTCCGAAAGTTTCCACACCCATTATATTATG